GAGAGAGAGAGACACAGAGTGAGGGAGAGAGAGAGTGAGAGACAGAGACAGAGAGAGAGACTCAGAGAGTGAGAGAGAGACAGCGAGAGAGAGTGAGGGAGACACACTGACACACACAGAGCGAGAGACACCTTCAAAGACCTCCATGATCTTGCTCCTCCCTTCCTCCTGTTCGCTCCCTCCGCTCAGCGTGCTCCGACCTACTTCACGTCCCTGCCTCGCCTGCCCCACGGTTGGTGGGCGGGCCTTCTGCAACTCTGCCGCCACCCTCTGGAACTCCAACCCACATTCCCTCCACCTTGCCCCCTCCCTCGCCACCTTCAAGACCTGTCTCAAGACCCTCCTCTTCGACCATGCTTTCAATCTTCCTGCTCCCCCCCCCACCCCATCCTCCACCTTCCCCGATCCCAAACCCCAGCTTGGGTCCGAAACACTGAATCTCTAGTGCCTTGGGACATCCTCCAGATGTGAAAGGCGCTAAACACATGTCATTTTGTTGTTGCTGTATGTAGGTGGCAGAACAGGTTGATTGAGCTGTTAAAAAAGCATATGGGATCCTTGGCTTTATAATAGAGGAATAGAGTACAAAAGCAAGGAAGTTCTGCTAAGCTTTATAGGTCATTGGTTAGGCCTCAGCTGGAATATTGTGTCCAATTCTGGGCACTACACTTTAGGAAGGATATTAAGGCTTTGGAGAGGGTGCAGAGGAGATTTACCAGATTTGTACCAGGGATGAGGGACTTTAGATATGTGGAGAGACTAGAGAGGCTTGGATTGTTGTTCTTAGAGCAGAGAAGGTTAAGGTGAGATTTAATATAAGTCTTCAAAATTATTAGGGGGTTTGATAGAGTAAATAGAGAAAAACTGTTTCCATTGGCAGGTGGGTCAGTAACCAGGAGACATAGATTTAAGATAATTGGTAAAAGAACCAGGAGGGAGATGAGGAGAATTTATTTTATACAGAAAGTTGTTACAGTCTGGAATGCACTCCTGAAAGGCTGGTGGAACAGATTCAATAACAACTTTTAAAAGGGAATTCATTAGGTTCTTGAAGAGGAAGAACATTGCAGGGATATGGGGAAAAGCGGGGAAGGGGGACTGATTGGAAGCTCTTCCAAAGAGCAGGCACAATGGGCTGAATGGCCTCCTTCTGTGCTGTAATATTCTACGATTTTATGAGTGTGTGAGAGAGAGCGACAACAGAGTGAGTGCGTGACACACAGTGAGAGAGAGACTCAGAGAGAGTGACAGAGAAAGAGACAGAGAGAGTGAGAGTGTGACACAGAGACACATACACAGAATCATAGAACACCTTGTTTCTCTGACTCAGAGAGAATGTGAGCGAGAGAGGGTTAGACACATACAGTGACATAAAGAGGGAGTGTGGAAGAGAGACAGAGTGAGAGAGGGCGGGAGAGAGAGTGACACACAGAAAGAGAGACACACATACATAGAACACCTTGTTTCTCTGTGCTGGGAGTGAGAGAGAGAGTGAGACACAGAGAGAATGAATGACAGAGATAATAGGCATAGTGAGCGAGTGTGTTAGGGAGAATAAGTGTGTGCGAGGAGAGTGTGTGTGATGGTTGTTTTTTAGACTGGATATCTAAACAACAACACCACCACCTTGCTCTGTCCTGGAGTCTTACACATAGTGAGACCGAGAGAGAGCATGTGTATGTGTGAGAGAGAGAGAGAGAGAAAAACACTGAGAGAGTGACACAGAGAGGGGGCGGGGAGAGAGGCCAAGTATGAGAGAGTGTTAGAGAGAGGGGTAGGGAATAAGAGTGTGAATGTGTGTGAGAGAGCGAGAGAAAAATAGAGGGAGGTGGGGTGGTGGGGGAGAGAGAGAGAGTGAAAGAGAGATGGGGAGAGACACACATATAGACAGAGAGAATCACTCTCCCATGGCTCCCTCTCTCTCACATGCACCCGGCAGGTCCCACTCCCCCCTATCCCTCACTCTCTTACACTCTCATCTCACACACTCTCCCTCTCCTTTTACCCTCCCTCTCTCATCCAGCATGTCTCACACACTCTCTCTCACACACTCTCTCCACCCCCCCCCCCCCTTCTCTCACACACATACTCTCTCCCTCCCCTCCCTCTCAGATACTCTCTCTCTAACTTCACGCAGTATTTCTCTCTCCCTCACACTCCATCTCTCATCCAGAATGTCCCACTCCTCTGTCTCACACTCTCTATCCATCTCCCCCTCCGACTCCCTCTCTCTCAAGCACACTCTCTCCCTCTCTCAAACACTCTATTTCCTCTCTCTCTCTCTCATTCTCTCTCACACTCTCTCTCCCCTCTCTCTCACATTCTCTCTCTCACCCTCACCCCACCCCCCTCTCTCTCTCTCTCTCTCACACCGTCCCTCTCTCACCCATCAGGTCCCACTCCCCGTTGAACCTGGTTAAATGAGTCCCTCACACGCTCTCTCTTCGCCCCCGCCCGGGAATTGAACCCAGGTCCTCTCGCTTGCAAAGCGGGTGCTCTAACCACTGAGCAACAGGATACTCACCCAGAAGGTTCCACTTCCCTCTCTCTCACTCACTCTCTCTCTCTCTCTCCCCATCTCTTTCCCCCTCTCACTCTCTACCGCACACTCTCACAACCCTCTCTTACACACACGCTCTCCCTCTCACATACTCTCTTGCACACACACTCTCTCCCTCACACTCTTTTTCTCACATACTCCCTCTCTCTCACCCAGCAGGTCCCACTCCCCGTTTGGGATGAACCCAGATAAATCAGCGGGTGACATTCGCAGATCGAGGAGCCAGCCATCATAGGTCCAGGATCCGAACTTTAGCTCACATTCCTGTGTGTCAAAGGGAAACCACCTCACATCAACCTGGCACGAGCTTCGGAATATACCTGTGTGAGAGACAGAGAGTCTGTGGGTGAGAGAGAATGAGAGAGGGAATATGAGTTTGTGAGAGAGTGTGAGTGTGTGAATGTGAGAGAATGAGAGAATGTAAGAGTGGGTATGAGAGTGACTGTGTGTGAGTGTGAGAGACAGTGTGTTTGAGAGACAGTCTGCGAGAGTGCATAAGAGAAAGATCTTACCTGGAGGCATAAACGTACAGTAACCGGTGGAGTTAACGAGAACATGGGGTTTATATGTTGAGTCAAAGTCATCATCAGCGCTGTAACAGAATAGATTCCGTCACTCTCTCTCTTTTACGTTCTCTCTCTCCTGTCTCTCTCAATACCCCCACAGCCAGCCTGGTTCATCGTAGGGCAGACCAGTCACTGTGGGCAGGGAGTCATCCCACTCAGCTTCTGTTAACTCTGCAGCCAAAGTCGGGTAGGGTGGTCTTAGCTGGACAAGCCAAAGCTTGAAAACTTGCCAGACGTAGGAATATAGAAACATGGGAACAGGAGGAGGCCATTCAGCCCCTCAAGCCTGTTCCACCATTCTATAAGGTCATGGCTGATCTGTACCTCAACATGGCTGATCTGTACCTCAACATGGCTGATCTGTACCTTATTAGATAAACAGAGAAATGTGGAGTAAGGAAACTCGCCTAACGTTTTGCCCTAAACTGCCTGGAATCTAACCGTTTCCTCTCGCTTGTGAGCCGAGCGCTCTAACCCCTGAGTTACACAGCATCTCTTGTTCCTATCAACACCCCCATCACTCTGGTCCCTGGCTGTTGCTTATTCTGGAGTAGATGTTGCCTGTTCTAGAGTAGTTATTACATGTCCGAAACTCTGCCTGTCCAGCACCTTGGGACGTCCTCCCGACTTGAAAGGTGCTGTACAAGTGTAATTTTGTTGTTGTTGTTCTTTTTCTTCAGGAGATACTGTCTATTCTGGGGGAGACCCTGTCTGTTCTGAAGTAGATGCTGCCTGTTCTGGAGTAAACATCGGTTCTAGAGTAGATATTACATGTTCTTAGACAGACCATCCTCCAGGGTAGACTCTGCTTATTCCAGAGCAGATCTTATCTGTTCTAGAAAATATTACATGTCGGTGGTCTAAGGTAGATATTGTCTGCTCTTGAGTAGGCCGGGTCTGTTCTAGAGTAGATTTTGTCTGTTCTCAGGGTGAGGGGGGGCCACTATCTGTTCAGCAGAAGTTATTGCATGTTCTAGAGAAGCTGTTGCCTGTTCCAGAGGAGTCTGAGCTGCTCCCTGTCTGTTCTGTTGTGGAACCCTACCTGTTATAGAGCAGGATGTCAGGTGTCCAGACCTGATCCGCACGGAATCGCACGTTCTTGACCCCCGGAAACTCCGACTCATTCCAGCGCAGGTAGTGATCGAACCAGGTCTGCAACAGAGCAGTCTGGTCACACCAACTCCTGATAAACCACCCCCCTCTTCCCCTGTGGTAAAGCTCCTGAGCCAGGAGGGGCCGCAGTATTCCAGGGCCCTCACTGCTGATGACATCGGCAACTATTCCCACTGACGGGTGGGTCAGTAACCCGAGGACACCGAGTTAAAAGAAACAAGAGGGGAAGTGAGGAGAAATGTTTTCACACAAGGAGTTGTTTGGATCTTGAATCCATTGTGTGAAAGGCTGGTGGACGCCGATGGCCACTTTATGAGAGAAATCGATCATTATTTGGAGAGAACCAGTTTGCAGGGCGATGGGGAGAGAGCAGGGGACTGACTTGGGTGGCTCTTTTCAAACAGCCGGCAGACACAATGGGCCGAATGGCCTCCTTCTGTGCCGTACTATTCTATTCATTCTACGTGGCTCAAGGTTTCCAATTCTCCAGCTCCTTAGCAACATAACCTTCGGGAACATGGAGGCTGTCCGTGTGAGATTCATAGTAACAGAAGTCATGACAAGTTGGATACAGAAACACTAAGCTGTGGTTTGTCTGTGGACAATCTTATTCGGGCTCCCGCTGGAGCGACCACATTATATATAGTGAAGGACAAACGCCTGACGCCAGACGAGTTTCGTTTGGAAGTTACAGCCTTTGATATGAGCACTTGGGCGGCTCTTATAAGAGCCTTTGTTCTTTGTGTCTTGACGTTAGGAGATGTTCAGCCGCCGAATCCGTACAGAGTGCGGCCCTGGCGTTTCAGAGCGTACACCACATCCATGGCGGTGACGGTCTTGCGCTTGGCGTGCTCCGTGTAGGTGACCGCATCCCTGATCACATTCTCCAGGAAAACCTTCAGCACCCCGCGGGTCTCCTCGTAGATCAGGCCGGAGATGCGCTTGACTCCGCCACGCCGCGCCAGGCGGCGGATGGCTGGTTTGGTGATGCCCTGGATGTTATCACGGAGCACTTTGCGGTGACGCTTAGCGCCGCCTTTCCCCAGACCTTTGCCTCCTTTGCCTCGGCCAGACATGTCTCTCCTCCACTCAACAGCAGTCGAATGACGGACACGCAGCTTCTGGCTGCTTTTATACAGGGCGCCCCGACCTGGCTGAGGAAGGCAGAGCAGAGCTGCCGAGGGGAGGAGACGGTCACAGTGACACACACACACAGACACACAACAGCTGCCGCAGCTCAGCTCCTCCCGCAGTTTCCCACAATTGCCAATTGTTAAACAATTTCGCAAAAGCAAACCGGAAACCCAAAAGAACCCCAATTCAATTGCCATGTGAACCTCTAAACCCCATGGTTTCCCATCAAGCAGTAATGTTAAAGCAGCTCTCCAGCTGGAATGTGCGCGGGAAATACCATTCAACCTCACTGACCAGAAGGAGTTACTGTTAACTGTTAATGTGGCTTCCCTCAAAATAACCCAAATGCTCCTTATTTTAGCCAGAATCTCGAGCTCGGAAACTTCTCAGTTTCTTTCTATTTTTCGCCGAATGATCAACGCTGTGTTTTGCCATTCCACCGCTGTATATTCCCGCTGTTGTAGCTATTGATGGGAAGGAGAATGTAGTCACCGTAGTGAAACTGGTGGGCTTTTTGAATTTGCTGCGAGTCTCAGTGTGAACCAAAGATTCACACAGTAACATGGCCTGACAGGGAGTCACCGCCACAGCTGATACTGTAACACATTCAGTGCTCGGCAGAGAACGGAGAATGAATGGCTCTCAGCCCAAAGTCATTCCATGTTATTTTCAGGCAGCTGTTTGTGTCATGAAACATGCTCGAGATTTGTCAGCTAGCTGGAGAGGATTGGCATGTGCCTGCGAATATTCCCTTTGACCTCAATCGCCATGTAAGCCTTTTATTGCTATCTATATCTCTGTAGTTAAACAATCAGTTCAATTCCAGGCAGAGGGCGAAACCTTGGGCAAGTTTCCTTACTCCACACAGGCCTAATAATAATCCCTCCAAAACCAAACACAATAATAAATTGGTCATTTTCAATCCAGGACTGTTTGTGGGACATTGCTGTGCGCAATTGGCTGCCGCGTTCGCCCACAAATATACAGTCAATTCACTTTACAGTGTGTTCTGTGAAGCGCTTTGGTCCCGTCCTCCTGACGTGAAAAGCGCTATATCAAATGCAAGGATTACTATTATTATTATTACTATTAACCGTGGAGCACACAGACAGAACCAGTGAAATCCTTTCTCCTTTGTCCTATCTGTGAGAACACTGACACTGTGGCGAGCTCCTATCTCAGAGCCTCCTGTCACTCACTGCGCTGCCAAACAGTCACAAACTCCGGGAGACTGCAGCACATAACATGGACAGAGGAAAATCCGCTCCTGAGAATTCAATGACTGGGGTATAGTTTGCCAGTTCAAGGCGCTGATTCAATGATAGTGTCAGCGGCTCTGTGTTAAAAAGGCGCCAGACTCAGATTCCAGTCACTGTGCTAGTGTGTCCAGCTTCATCCCGGGATTTCCAAATCCCTAGCACCAGACGTAAGAATATTTTCTGTTGACGGGATGGCCCCGACCCTCTGCTTGACATCACAGCCACAATTTAAGCTGTGATTCTGTTTGGTTTGAGAATATCATTCAAGTCGCCGTCAATATGTCCAGGATTCAGCGCTGATCCGCGGGCAATCCCACATTCAAACGTTTTTAACTGGAAGCTGCTGCCTTTAGTTCAGTTGTGCAGTGTCTCTCAGTGAAGAGCGGATTGTGCACTTCAGCGAAAGGCTGTTGTTGACTCTCAGCACAAACGAGTTTAGAGACAAACGATCAGTTTTGGAAACGACAGAAACACAGAGATTTGAAACCCGGAAGCTGAGCAGCGGCTGACTCTGCCGCGTCCGCTCGGAGGCTGTAAGTGGCTGTGGCGCCGCCTGGCTTCACTATCCTGAGCAGCTCCACACACTGAGCCTCTCACAGGGACTATGGCTGAAACTGCTCCCGCCGCCGTCCAGCCTCCTGCAGCCGCCACCGCTTCGCCCAAAGCCGCCAAGAAGAAGCGCGTTGCCCCGAAGCAGAAACCCGGCTTCAACCTGATGGAGGAGATCAAGCAGATGGTGGCGAGCGCTGAGCATCGCAGGGGCTTGTCCGTGGTCGCCATCAAGAAGACTCTGGACGCCAAAGGCTACAAGCCGGAAACTCACAAACACCAGGTCAGGGCTTCTCTGAAGAGACTGGCAGACAGAGGTATCCTGATCCAGACCACGGGCATCGGCGCCACCGGCTCCTTCAAACTCAACAAGGACAACGCGGCAAAGAAGCCGACCCCGCGGGGGAAGAAGGCAGCGGCCGCCAAGAAAGCTTCTCCACGGAAGAAACTTGCAACAAAAAAGCCAAGTTCACCCAAGAAACCATCTGTGCCCAAGAGAGTCCACAAAGCCAAGTCTCCCGCTGTCAAGAAGACCCCGAAAGCTGCCGTGAGTAAGAAGCCCAAATCGGCCAAAAAACCTGTAAAGAAAGCGGTGGTAAAGAAAGCTGTAAAGAAGCCCGCAGCCTCAAAGAGACCAAGCGGCAAAACCGCCAAACGTTTCCCCAAAGCGCCGGCGGCTAAGAAAACACCAGCCAAAAAGAAGTAACTTCTCCCCTCTGCTGATATTAACCCCCAAAGGCTCTTCTCAGAGCCACCCATTCCCTCCCAAACGAGCTGCACCTAACGAATGATTCTGGGGTGAGCAGAGTGTCTGTCACAGGAGAGCAGAAACATAGACATAAACAGCAGGTACTGGGACCTTTGGCGTGTGTCCATGGCAGCATCTTGGCACCTGAGTCGGTATGAATCCGAGTTAGTCCAGTGGTTAGTATCTCCGCCTGTCACGCGGGAGACCGGGGTTCAAATCGCCGACAGGGAGGTCGCTTTAGTCTCTGTTAGTTACCAAACAAGCATTCGTAAAAGACAACAATGATATCTGTGCCCAGTAACCAACGCTGCTTCTGAACGGTTTGGAACACACTGAGACCAAGTGTGTCAAGAGCAAATATCCCCACAAAACATCAACTAAACATCTTTTGCTTTTCACCTCAAAATATTATTTGCCCGCTATGTGTACATCAAATTTACCTGAAACGGTACAGACAGTTATACAGAGACCAGGCCAGTTTACCGAGACCAGACCTGTTATACAGAGACAAGACAGACATTCTGAACTGTATTTGAATTGGATTTCTCTTTACTGGGACTATTCTGCTTAATTATGAGCCCAGTAACCATTGTTGCATTAAATATATATTGGCATTAGCATTTATTAGTAAATAAATGCAACAAGTTTCCACTATTGTGCTTTATCCTCACAGGCCTTTGTGTTGCTTTGAGTAATACAGCATTAACTTGAGAGTTAACTCTATATAACTCAAAGCAACACAACCTGCTGTCCTGCTGTCCTCCACAGCCCTGCTGTCTTGTGGGGTTTGGAAGATCTTACCATCAGATAAGGAAGCCAGTCTCCGGGCTGCAATACCGAGGCTGACCACAGGGGAAGCAGATATTTCTGTCTCTCAGGGTGAAAGCTCAGGTGTAAACCTGCAAGAGAGGAAACTGGCAGATAATATTTGTGCAAATTAATTTAACTGACGTGAAGTCTGAGAAAATAAAACCTTCATTCCAGGTGAATTAATACATGTCGATAAACTTTGAAGTTATGATGAACTGTAGTCCTGTAGCTCAGTGGTTATTGCCCTCGCCTTGCCCCTGGCTTCAAATCCAGGCAGGGAGACACCTTGGGCAAGTTTCCTCACTCCACACACCTAATAATAATCCCTCCAAAAAACAAAACAATAATTGGTCATTTTCAATCCACGACTGTTTGTGGGACGCTGCTGTGTGCAATTGGCTGCCCGGTTTCGCCCACAAATATACAGTCAATTCACTTAACAGCATATTCTGTGAAGTGCATTGAGATGTGGAGATGACATGAAAAGCGCTATATCAAATGCAAGGATTATTATTATTATAATAATGATGATAATAATCACTGTGTTTGTAGATTTTGTCTACGAACAAAATAGCATAATTTTACTTTTGTCAGAAAGATGTCAGACAATTGTGGAAAGCCATCCATTATCTTAAAACTATTCAAACTATTCCTGCTACAAGGTGGGGGGGAATTCACCATCAACGATCGAAAGGTGGAAGACTATGCTGTTTGCCCTTTCAGGTGGAGTTTGGAGATTCCAGGGCACTATTGGAAATCAGCACTCAGTTACTCCTGGTTTCCTGGACAATAATCCTTCTCATAACATCCATGATTTGTTGTGGGTCATTGCTGGAGCTGAATGGGAGATTCCTTGTTCCCAGTGACTGGTGTTACATCCAAATGTTGTTGTCAAGCTTGGCTGGCTGGTCTAGCATTAACAGTGTGTGTTCCTTATCCTCTCAGGAAGCCAAGCAGGGCATCCCTCAAGTCAGTGCACATTGAAATACAACCTTGCTTTTAATATTGCCCCTTTCATGTCTGAAAGTATCAACTTTGTTTCACATCATTTCACTTTTGATGAAAGACCCACCTGTGCACTGTGTCTGTATCGAAGTGATTCACTGAGAATAAAATCAGAGTGGGGTGTGGGGGATATGTGACTCAGGTTCAATATCTCCATGAAATAACCTCAGGCATTTATAAAGCTGATTGAGCTGCTCCATTGCAATGGCTATTCAATACACAGCACCGACTGCCCTGGTCCAAGTGGCCAATGACCTCGATCTGCAACCAGGACTCTTCTGCCACCTTGTTCTCAGAACCTCTTTGTTGTCTCCCATTTATCCACACAATCCTTCTCTCAGCTCTGCTCCACCTTCAAGATTCTGTCCAATACTAGTTTCACTCTTACCTATTCCAGCAAAGTTGCTCCTCTGTCATTTCAAACAGCTTTTCCTCCTGCTCCCAAACATTCACAAGCAGTGTTCTTTAGAGCTTCATCCCAGTTCCTGCTGTTCTGATGGACGCATTGTCAGCTATCAAGTTATTCATGAGCAGGAAATCGCTTCACATGAATATTGACCAAAGAGATTGTTATTGTGCAATTGATTTTGTTTGCGGCAATAACAGGCCTGGTCTCTGTATGTCAGGCCTGGTCTCTGTATGATAGGCCTGGTCTCTGTATGACAGGCCTGGTCTCTGTATGACAGGCCTGGTCTCTGTATGTCAGGCCTTGTCTCTGTATGTCAGGCCTGGTCTCTGTATAACTGGACTGGTCTCTCTACAATAAACCTGTTCTCCATATAATAGGCCTGGTCTCTGTATTACAGGCCTGGACTCTTTATGAAAGGCCTGGTATCTGTGTAACTGGCCTGGTTTCTGTATAGCTGGCCTGGTCTCTACAATAAACCTGTTTTCCATATAACGGCCTGGGCTCTGTATAACTGGACTTGTTCCTCTGTAATAAACCTGTTCTCCATATAACAGGCCTGCTCTCTATAATACAGTCCTTGTCTCTGTATAACTGGCCTGGTTTCTGTATAGCTGGCCTGGTCTCTACAATACATCTGTTTTCCATATAACGGCCTGGGCTCTGCATAACTGGACTAGTCACTCAATAATAAACCTGTTCTCCATGTAACCGGCCTGGCTAATTTTTGTGTAACAATAAAAATCAGGATTCCTGTTTGCATATTATATATCAGTTGCTGGAGACAGACTCAGGGAACACGTCGGCAACATGTTATATGTTTCCACCCATTCAAAGTGCAATAACACATACTGACATGGCCAGTACAACATCGATTCCACTGATAAAAGAAGGACCAAATATCCACAAACATTTATATTATTTGCAAAGAGAGGAGAGGGCTAGGTAAGAATCAATTCTGCACTGATGCTTAGAGAAAGGAACCATTCAAACTCATTGGACGACATTGAAAAAGACAATGTCATTTCGATAATGGTCTTGCGATGCTGCGATTCCTTGGATTCTGGAACAGTCCCCATGGATTGGAAGATCGCAAATGTCACCTACTATTTAAAAAAGGTGGAAAGGAAAAGATGAGGATCTAAAGGCCAGTTAGTCTCACATCAGTGATCGGAAAAATTTTAGAATCATTGATTAAGGATGTGGTTGTGCGATATTTAGGGGAGCACAACATAATTAGGCCAAGTCGAGTTTTTTGAGGATATTTCTAGTAAACTAGATAAGGATGAATCAGTGGATGTGGTCTGTTTGGACTTCCAAAAGGCATTTGATAAGGTGCCGCATAAAAGGTTAGTCCAAAAGATAAGGACCCATGGAATAGGGGGGAGCATATGAACTTGGAATGGGGAATGGTTAACGGGTAGGAAACAAAGAGTAAGGATAAACGGTCTTGTTCAGATTGGCGTGATGTGACTAGTGGAGTGCCACATGGCTCAGTCCATAGGCCTCAGCTATTTACCATCTACATCAACAATCTAGATGAGGACATCAAAGTTAATATGTCTAAATTTGCAGATGACACAAAACTAGGAGGAAGTGTCAACACAGAGGATGACATCAAAAAATGCAGCGATACACAGATAGGTGAGGTGGCAGATGAAGTATAATGTATCCACCTAGGTAGCAAAAACAGTAGAGCGGGTTATTTGTTAGAAGGGGAGAGATTGGAATGTGTTAGCGTCCAGAGGGACTTTGGTGTCCTTACACACCAATCGCAGAAAGTTAGTTTGCAGGTGCAACAGCAATTAGGAAGGCGAACGGTATGTTAGCATTCATTATGAAAGGATTAGAGTAATAATAATAATAATAATCTTGGCATTTGGTATAGCGCTTTTCACATCTTCTGGAAGTCTCAAAGCACTTCACAGAATAGAGTTTAAAGTGATTTGACCGTATATTTGTGGGCGAAGCGGCAACCAATTGTTCCACAAACAGTGGTGGATTGTTAATACTTTCATAATGAATGCGTACAGTAGGTTAGCATTCATCATGAAAGGATTAGAGTACAAGTGCAGGGAAGTCTTGCTGCAACTGTATAGGGCCCCAGTGAGACCACACCTGGAATACGTGTCCAGTTTTGGTCTCATTATTTAAGGAAGGATGTACTTGCCTTGGAGGGAGAGCAGCGCAGATTTACAAGGTCAGTACGAGGGATGAAGGGGATGAGTTTCGAGGATAGGCTTACCAATTTGGGCCTATATATCTCCAGCCCCCACATCACCTCACCCGCATGACACACCCAACCCCCACACATCACCGCCTGTACTCCTACGACCCTATCTCTCCCTTCTCCCTCATCACGACTGTCCACAAACTCAAATTCACCACCTGCTCCCTCAATCCCATCCCCGTCTCCCAGCTCCAAATTCTAGCTCCTCTCCTGTCCGATGTCATCAACTTCTCCTTGTCCATTGGTTCAGTTCGCACCACCCTAAAAACAGCCATCATCACCCTCATCTTGAAAAAACTATCCCTGGATCCGTCCCTCCTCTCCAGCTACTGCCTCATCTCTAAACTCCCTACCTCAAACCCTTTGCCTCGCCCCCTTTAGGTCAGGCCTGAAGACCTTCCTTTACAACCGCGCCTACAGTCACATTCCCCCCCGCTCGGGCCTTGGGCTCCAGCATTGTTAAGCTCTGAGATGCCGCCTGTTGCCTCAATACATGGAATCTCATTGGCCTCGTTATGGGCTTGTAATCGAGATGAAGAAAATATGCACTGGTTGTTCTGTTCAGTAAAACCAGTTCTCACCAAATACTTTGTTATACTCAACTTCCTTTTCAAACATTCATTCTCAGAAAATATTGAAATTAGTCATTACTGGCCCATGTGCCTGAGTAACCAATGGAAATAATACCTCTCCATCTGGTCTATGAGAAAACATCAAACATTTAAGGATCTTTATGCGTTGGCTGTTTCAATACAAACAGGCTCAGTTCACAGAATCAACCAGAATTGGCAACAAAACTACATTGTAAATTAAATTAATACCGAATAAGAATAAGTTTTCACACAGTGTCACGCCTGCCTCAAGTAATCACATATGTACAGAATTTCAGTGACTTGCAAATTTGTTATATTGCAAGCAGAGAGAAGATTTGATATATTTGTTATATTGCAAGCAGAGAGAAGATTTGATATATTTGTTATATTGCAAGCAGAGGGCAGCTGAAATGAGCACCGGTGGAGCTACAGATTACATTGGTGTACAGTGCCTTTCAGGTCGGGACGACGAGCCAAGGCGCTGGATATCGTCAGTGCACACACAAGTTTAAGGCGCTTTTGCTACAGCTCTGTCGGAGAAGTGGTGTGTGGCTCTGAAAAGAGCCTTTGTGTGTAGATGGAGTGACTGTGAGCCCTCACTTGGAGCTGGTGTACTTGGTGACGGCCTTGGTGCCCTCGGACACGGCGTGCTTGGCCAGCTCCCCGGCAGCAGCAGGCGCACGGCGGTCTGGATCTCCCTGGAGGTGATGGTCGAGCGCTTGTGTACTGCGCCAGGCGGGAAGCCTCGGACGCGATGCGCTCGAAGATGTCATTCACAAAGGAGTTCATGATGCTCATGGCCTTGGAGGAGATGCCGGTGTCCGGGTGGACCTGCTTCATCACCTTGTACACGTAGATGGAGTAACTCTCCTTCCTCGACCTCCTGCGCTTCTTGCCCGCAGTCTGCGGTTTGCGAATCGCTTTCTTGCTGCCTTTTTTGGGCGCTCCTTTGCCCTCGGATTTAGCGGCTTTGGCATCGGTTTTGCCCTCACCAGCCATTCTGCTCTCTTGATACCACCGACACAGTGTCGGGCAGTGGCTGAACGTCTTCTTATATATTATCGCCATCCAATCCCAACAAAGCAGTCCGTTCATCCCTCTTTAGCATAATCGGTTCCCCAATGGGACCCCGGGGGTTGGCAACCAATCCCCAGCCTCCCAGCCTCTGTGCTGTGATTGGCTGAGAGCCCGATGTGACGTAGAGACAGGGGGCTGGGGCTGCAGTGCGAGGAGATCTGATTGGGCAGGAAATGAAGGGCCTGACGAACGGAACCTATTTAAGCACAGAATCCGCTCTGGTTGGTGTCGGAATCTTAGTCAAAATGTCAGGACGTGGGAAGACCGGAGGTAAAGCCCGAGCCAAGGCCAAGTCCCGCTCCTCCAGGGCCGGACTGCAGTTCCCGGTGGGTCCGCGTCCACAGACATCTCCGTAAGGCAACTACGCTGATCGCGTGGGGGCCGGAGCCCCGGTCTATCTGGCCGCGGTGCTCGAGTATCTGACCGCTGAGGTGCTGGAGCTGGCGGGCAACGCCGCCCGCGACAACAAGAAGACCAGGATCATCCCCCGGCACCTGCAGCTGGCCGTCCGCAACGACGAGGAGCTGAACAAGCTGCTGGGGGAGTGACTATCGCTCAGGGCGGCGTGCTGCCCAATATCCAGGCTGTGCTGCTGCCAAGAAAACCTCCTCCATCCTCAGAAGAAGTAAATCATCGGAGGTTTTCCTATCCAACCAAAGGCTCTTTTCAGAGCCACCCACACTGTCCAGGAAAGAGCCGTTTGCCATTTCAGCAAAGACAGGGCCCGCACCAGCCATGTGGAGTCCTGTAGCTCAGTGGTTAGAGCACTCGCTTTGCAAGTGAGAGACCGGAGTTCAATTCCAGGCAGAGGCGAAACCTTGGGCAAGTTTCCTTACTCCACACAGAGCCTAATAATGACCCTCCAAAAACCAAAACAAAAATTAAATTGGTCATTTTCAATCTACGACTGTTTGTGGACATTGCTGTGCGCAATTGGCTGCTGCGTTCGCCCACAAATATACAGTCAATTCACTTTACAGTGTGTTCTGTGAAGCGCTTTGGGACGTCCTCCCGACGTGAAAAGTGCTATATCAAATGCAGGATTATTATTATTATTATATATCTCTTACGCCACATCAAGTTGAATGGGCGGATATAATAATTGCGGGCTTTGGGATGACTTGGGGAGTCCGGGTGCAGTTCAGAGTTCCTCTTTGTGCGTCGCGTCGAAGACGCTGCAATCATGCCGCATGCATGTGAGCCACACACCGCTGGCAAAATACTGCGGTGCCGGAAATCTGAAAGCAAAGCACAGCAGCAGGTCGGGCAGCATCAATGGAGAAAGGAAAGCGAGTCAACGTTTCGGGTCCGTGCTGACGCAGGGTCGTGGACCCGAAGCGTCGACGCGCTTTCCTCCCACAATGAACGCATGTGGATGGTTCAAGACACGATCCACAGAAAGACAGATCTCGCTGTATCGGCACCGGCCGTTACTGTACATTCGGTTTAACAGTGGTTTGGGCTGTAGATGCGTTAAGCTGAGGAGGAGTGTCAAGTGTACAGTTTGCTGGAGAGGCCGCTCTTTCCGTTTGACTATTTGGTGGCTCTTAAAAGAGCCTTTGTTCACACAGTGTGGAGACGGAGGGTCTAAGCGCGCTCCCCGCGGATGCGGCGGGCCAGCTGGATGTCCTTGGGCATGATGGTGACCCGCTTGGCGTGGATAGCGCACAAGTTGGTGTCCTCAAACAGCCCCACCAGGTAAGCCTCGCTGGCCTCCTGAAGCGCCATGACGGCAGAGCTCTGGAAGCGCAGGTCCGTCTTGAAATCCTGAGCGATTTCCCGCACCAGGCGCTGGAAGGGCAGTTTGCGGATCAGCAGCTCGGTGGATTTCTGGTAGCGGCGGATCTCCCGGAGAGCCACGGTGCCGGGACGGTAGCGATGCGGCTTCTTCACGCCCCCCGTGGCCGGAGCGCTCTTACGAGCAGCTTTGGTGGCCAACTGTTTGCGGGGAGCTTTGCCGCCGGTGGATTTCCGCGCCGTCTGCTTTGTCCGCGCCATCTTCTGACTCCCGCAAACAAGACGAGCTGTGAATGGCGAGTGCACTGTGAGCAGCGGCTCTTATAGAGGCCACAGCGCAACGATTGGCTGCAGTCAGGGGAGGAGAGAGTCACTGACACAGGGAAGAGAGATCAGCCTCTGAGCTGCGAGCTCCACCTCCAGCTTCTCAACAAGCATTTCAGACAGGGACTGAATCACCCTCACGAATCACATTGAAAATAAGTAGTGATGTGAGAATGATATCAAAACATTGTGACTCCCATTGTTTGTTTTTTAGAAAAATAAGGCCTATTTACGGAAATGCTGACGGTTTCTCTGTGTCCGAGTTTGTCTGAAAACATTCTGAAGACGTTCGACAGCTTCAGGAATCCTGCAGTGGGACGGTTGGCACACTCACCCTCGCAAGCGCGAGGACCTGGGCCAGGTTTCCGGACGGGGCCAAATGTTAGCAAAATTTCCTTACCCTTCCCGCCTCTGTTTACCGAGCAGTAACTAGGCACCCGCTTGTTAGTCGATTGGCGCATCGCTTTTCCGGTGGTAATAATCCCGTCAATAAAAGGAAAGAAGAATTTGGTCACTCAATCCAGACTGTTTGTTGAACACTGCTGTGTGAAATTGACTGCTGCGATTCCCTCACCAAATAAATGCAGTCAAGTGGCTTTACAGTGTACTCTGTGAAGCGATTTGAGTCGTGTCAAAGATATGATGAGGCGATATATCAAATGCAAGGATTATTCTTATTATTATTATTATTTTCTACCGTGTTACAACACCACACAGTGTCTTCCCATTTCCTGCTCTTTGATGCCTCTTTGGCAGCTTCCCCCCAAGCGACAGAGGCTCTGACCCACTTTCACACGGTTGAAGGTTACATTCATTTCTTAGAAAGCCTCCTGGTGATGCACATAATTAAAATGATAATCATGAGCACATCAATCACTTTAATGAAACCGATTTAATCTTAACCCGAAGAAGGATCTCATTTACTCCTTTCTTTATCTGAGTGAATTTGGTGCGGTTTCCAATGGTGTGGAACGGCGGGTGACTGCAGGCGGCCGATACACTGGGGCAGGACAGGGGGCACCCGTGTGCACACACACAGGGACAAACAGCCTGTGACTTTATTGTGGACAAAAATGAACTTCTCATTAATTGACTCAAACAAACTCTTTTTTTCTTGGAATCACATATAATCCTGTCACTGCTTGCAATATGATAATTTTACACGATCTGAAATTCTGTAAGTATATGAACATTGAAAGTTCAGACATGACACTATGGTATAATGTTTCTCCTTATCCAGTGTTAATTTTAAATCGACTTTTGTTACAAAGTTTGACTGATTCTCTGAGGCTACACTCAATAACAGGATATTCAACATCAAGATAAATACTACTGAATGTTGAATTTTTCCAGATGGTCTATGCCTCTGATATTGTGTTTGGTTCTCATGTGGGTAACATCTGATTATAATAATAATCCTTGCATTTGATATAGCACTTTTCACGTCGGGAGGACGTCCCAAAGCTCTTCACAGAACATATTGTAAAGTGAATTAGCTGTGTATTTGTGGGCGAACGCGGCAGCCAATTGCGCACAGCAATGTCCCACAAACAGTCGTAGATTGAAAATGACCAATTTATTATTGTATTGTTTTGGAGGGATTATTATTAGGCTCTGTGTGGAGTAAGGAAATTTGCCCAAGGTTTCGCCCTCTGCCTGGAATTGAACTCAGGTCTCTCGCTTGCAAAGCGAGTGCTCTAACCACTGAGCTACAGGACTCCACTGATTGTCTGAATCTGCAGGTAAATCATGTGAGCTCCCTGTTATCCTGTGAGTAAGTTGTCTTTTTAACATGTTGAGTGGAGTTGAACTCAGATCTGTTTCTCTCGAAGCCCAAAGTTCAAATATTCCTCTTGAGCACAAATCTGTAGATAAACAGTGAAATATCCATCATTAGCTGTGGACAACATTCCTTACTCATGTCCTGAAGTTTAATCTGAAAGACAATAAAGTGTACGTCTGTCAGTGTGGCTCAGTTTTAGCAGCCTCACCTCTGAGCCAGTAGGTTGTGGGTTCATGCCCCACATTGGAAGTAGTTTAGTGCCATGCAATCTTTATCTTCCAACTGAACAAGCAGCCGGGACCTCAGTTTAACTTTTCATCCAAAGGACGGCACCTTCGACAGTGCAACACTGCCCCAGCACTGCATTGGAAAGTCAGTTGAGATATTGTCCCAAACTACGGCTTGAACCAGCAACCTTCTGACCCAGCGGCGAGAGACCAACCACTGAGTCAGGCCGGACACACTGTCTGTTGGAAATTTCCATTACCCACAACATGCAGGACTTTTCTAGGATTCCAGCTTTCCCTTAAACATACCCAATCAGTTAGTGACACTCTACAGTCCAACCCTATTGACAGCAAAGGTTGACAGGCTTTATTTAACAATAACTCTCCTCAAAAAAAAACTTTCAAATTTGGTGTTCCTGACAAAATGTCACTCTGTGTTGTAGGTTGTGCACGTCCTTTCAACAATGTATCCTGATTGGTAAGGTATTGTGTTGCAATGTCTAGGAATGCTACTGGGTGCTTGCAGGTGAGTTGCTTGTGATGGTGGCAGTGTATCTGCTGTAAGTGTGGGCCTGTGGATTGTTTCTATGTTGATAATTTGTGAGAATACTGATTGTGTGTCATATTAATTTGAATTCATTTCAGAGGCTCTCTAATCTTGTACACAAACACGGAATCAATACTCCGTGTTCATGTCTTGCTATCTATATGTGAGTATCAAATAGATAATCCCTCCACGTCTAAGTGATATTGCTGTGTGTGCATCCGAAAAAGCCTGTGTGTTTTGCTGCTGCTTGAAGGTATTATTGCCGACCAAGAAATCTTTTCAAGAACAATAATCCAGTCACTCAATCCACTCCTGTTTGTGACACACTGCTGTGCATCATTGGCTGCCGGATTTCACCAAAAAATATACAGTCAATTCATTTAACAGCATATTCTGTGAAGTGCTTTGAGATGCCATCAAGTCATGACAGTGCACTACATATTAAATGCAAGGATTATTATTATTATAGCTTGATACACCAGACCTCTTATACAGAGACCAGGCCTCTTATACAGAGAACAAGCTTCTTATACAGAGACCAGGCCAGTAATACAGACACAAGGGCTGCTATACAGAGACCAGGGCTGTTATACAGAGACCAGACCTCTTATATAGAGACCAGGGCTGTTATACAGAGCCCAGGCCAGTTATACAGAGACCAGGCCTTTTATACAGAGACCAGGCCAGTTATACAGAGACCAGGCCTTTTATACAGAGACCAGGCCAGTTATACAGAGACCCGGCCAGTTATACAGAGACCACGCGAGTTATACAGAGACCAGACCAGTTATACAGAGACCCGGCCAGTTATACAGAGAACAGGTGAGTTATACAGAGACCAGAGACCTCCACGTCTAAGTGATATTGCTGTGTGTGTGCATCCGAAAAAGCCTGTGTATTTTGCTGCTTCTTGAAGGTATTATTGCCGACCAAGAAATCTTTTCAAGAACAATAATCCGGTTACTCACTCCACTCCTGTTTGTGGCACACTGCTGTGCACCATTGGCTGCCGGATTTCACCAACAAAATATACAGTCAATTCATTTAACAGCATATTCTGTGAAGCGCTTTGAGATGCCATCAAGTCATGACAGTGCACCACATATTAAATGCAAGGATTATTATTATAGCTTGATACACCAGACCTCTAGAGACCATGCCTCTTATACAGAGAACAAGCTTCTTGTACAGAGACCAGGCCAGTAATACAGACACAAGGGCTGCTATACAGAGACCAGGGCTGTTATGCAGAGACCAGACCTCTTATATAGAGACCACGGCTGTTATACAGAGACCAGGGCAGTAATACAGAGACCAGGCCTCTTATACAGCGACCAGACCTCTTATACAGAGACCAGGCCAGTAATACAGAGACCAGGCCAGTAATACAGAGACCAGAGCGGTAATACAGAGACCAGGCCAGCTTTACAGAGACCAGGGCTGTTATACAGACGCCAGTCCAGTAATACAGAAACCAGGCCAGTAATACAGACACAAGGGATGCTATACAGAGACCAGGGCTGTTATACAGAGACCAGACCTCTTATATAGAGACCAGGGCTGTTATACAGAGCCCAGGCCAGTTATACAGAGACCAGGCCTTTTATACAGAGACCAGGCCAGTTATACAGAGACCAGGCCAGTTATACAGAGACAAGGCCTTTTATACAGAGACCAGGCCAGTTATACAGAGACCCTGCCAGTTATACAGAGACCAGGCGAGTTATACAGAGACCAGGCCAGTTATACAGAGACCCGGCCAGTTATACAGAGAACAGGTGAGTTATACAGAGCCCAGGCCTGTTAGACATAGACCAGGCGAGTTGTACAGAGACCAGGCCTGTTAGACAGAGACCAGGCCTGTTAAACAGAGACCAGGCCAGTTATACAGAGACCAGGCCAGTTATACAGAGACCCGGCCAGTTATACAGAGAACAGGTGAGTTATACAGAGACCAGGCCTGTTAGACAGAGACCAGGCCTGTTAAACAGAGACCAGGCCAGTTATACAGAGACCAGAGCATTAATATAGAGACCAGGACTCTTATACAGAGACCAGGCCTCTTATACAGAGACCAGAGCTGTTGTACAGAGACCCGGGCTGTTACGCAGAGACCAGGCCAGTTATACAGGGACCCGAGCATTAATACAGAGACCAGGCGTCTTACACAGAGACGGCGTCTTATACAGAGACCAGGCCACTTATACAGAGACCAGGGCTGTTATACAGAGACCAGGCCTCTTATACAGAGACCAGACCTCCAATACAGAGACAAGGCCAGTCATACCGAGACCAGAGCAGTAATACAGAGACCAGGCCAGCCTTACAGAGACCAGAGCTGTTATACAGAGACCAGGCCAGTTTTACAGAAACCAGGCCAGTTTTACAGCGACGAGGCCTGCTACTCAGAAACCAGGCCAGTTATACAGAGACCAGACCTGTTATACAGAGACCAGGCCACTTATACAGAGACCAGGCCGTTTATACAGAGACCAGACCAGTTATACAGAGACCAGGCGAGTTATACAGAGACCAGGCCTGTTAAACAGAGACCAGGCCTGTTATACAGAGACCAGGCCAGTTATACAGAGACCAGGTCAGTTTTACAGAGACCAGAGCTGTTATACAGAGACCAGGCCAGTTATTCGGAGACCAGGCCTGTTATACAGAGACCAGGCCAGTTTTTCAGAGACCAGGCCAGTTATTCGGAGACCAGGCCTCTTATTCAGAGACCAGACCTCTAATACAGAGACAAGGCCAGTCATACAGAGACCAGAGCAGTAATACAGAGACCAGGCCAGCCTTACAGAGACCAGAGCTGTTATACAGAGAGCAGGTCAGTTTTACAGAGACCAGAGCTGTTATACAGAGACCAGGCCAGCTGTACAGTGATCAGGCCTGTTACACAGAGACCAGGCCTGTTATACAGAGACCAGACCTGTTATACAGAGACCAGGCCAGTTTTACAGAGACCAGGCCAATTATTCCAAGACCAGGCCTGTTATTCAGAGACCAGACCTCTTATACAGAGAACAGGCCAGTAATGCAGAGACCAGAGCAGCCTTACAGAGACCAGGTCTATTATGCAGAGACCAGCGCTGTTATACAGAGACCAGGCCTGTTATACAGAGACCAGGCTAGTTATCCAGAGTGAGAATGATTGTTGCCGAAGTGTTCCCTGTGTCTGTCTCCAGCAAATGAAATATAATATGCAAACAGGAATCCTGATTTTCTGCCTTGTGTTCATTTTTNGAGTGTGGAGTATGTGCACTTAATTCTAATCTAATGTGCACTTAGATGTACAATTGTCAATACTGCATCACTCAACAGCATATTAAATGGGTTTTGATTCGATAAATTTATGTGTCTCTGTTGTGTGAGTATACCCATAGACCGTGTGCTGATCGTGTCCCACTGATCGCTCGCTCCTGGCCTCTGTGGGCACATTTTGGCTGTCGCCCCGACCCGAGCCATCCACGCCTGATAATGTTCTTGCTCCCAACCCCACACTTTGTTTCTCCCACACTGTCCTGCTTTCCCATTGCCCGTACGTGTGTGTGTGAGTGTGCATGTGTGTGGGTGCGTACGTGTGTGTGAATGTGCATGTGTGTGTATGTGCATGTGTGTATATGTGTGTGTGTGAATGTGTGTGTGTGTGTATGTTTTCGTGTGTGTGTCTGTAAGTGTGTGTGTGTGTGTGTTAATGTGTTTGTGTGTGTGTCTGTAAGTGTGCAAGTGTGTGTGTATGTGCGTGAGTGTGCATGTATGTACATGTGTGTGTGTGTATGTATGCGTGTGTATGCATATGTATGTACGTGTGTGAGTGTTTGTGTGTGTTTGTGCCAGTGATCGTATATCAGGACTTTATGTTGGGACAAAGTTACAAAACAACTGAAAACATGGAAGATGAGCTGACACTTCGGCAGTAATGCAGACACCACCATTCATGGCTGCACTCTTCACCTCACGGAGCCAATCCGAAACCTCGGTGTCCTTTTCGATCTTCAGCTACCCTTCAAACCCTTCATTCATGCCATGAACTGTTCCGTCTTTCCACACCTCTGCAACATTGCCCATCTCCACCACTGCCTCTCACCACAGGCCATTGAGACCACAATACACAATTTCATCATATCCCATTGGTGGTCAGGCATTCAGCATCCCTGCCCCCACAGTCTGGAACTCTACCCCACAATCCCTCCACTTCACCCCCAAGCTTGCCTCCTTCAATTCCCGTCTGAAGACCGTGTCATTTGTTGTTGCTGTAGAGCTGAGGCATGAGACACAAGATCCTTTGGTCCCACTAACAATGGGAACCTGCGAGATACTGGAGAGGATGTGAAGGAGATTTACCAGGATGGTACCAGGAATGAGGAACTTCAGTTATCAGGAGAGGCTTGAGAAGCTCGGATTATTCTCCTTGGAGCAGGGACGGTTAAGCGGAGATTTAATAATACTAATAATAATCCTTGCATTTGATACAGCGCTTTTCACATCCCTAGCCTTCCCAAAGCACTTCACAGAATATACTGCAAAGCGTATTGACTCTACATTTGTGACTGAACGCGGCAGCCAATTGCGCACAGCAGTGTTCCACAAAGTCATGGATTGAAAATGACCAATTTATTATTGGGTTTTTTCAAAAGAGTTTTCAGAATTTGGTGCGGATTCGATAAGAGTGACAAAGGAGAAACTATTCCCACTGGCGGGTGGGTCAGTAACCCGAGGACACCGAGTTAAAAGAAACAGAGGGGAAGTGAGGAGAAATGTTTTCACACAAGGAGTTGTTTGGATCTTGAATCCATTGTGTGAAAGGCTGGTGGACGCCGATGGCCACTTTATGAGAGAAATCGATCATTATTTGGAGAGAACCAGTTTGCAGGGCGATGGGGAGAGAGCAGGGGACTGACTTGGGTGGCTCTTTTCAAACAGCCGGCAGACACAATGGGCCGAATGGCCTCCTTCTGTGCCGTACTATTCTATTCATTCTACGTGGCTCAAGGTTTCCAATTCTCCAGTTCCTTAGCAACATAACCTTCGGGAACATGGAGGCTGTCCGTCTGAGATTCATAGTAACAGAAGTCATGACAAGTTGGATACAGAAACACTAAGCTGTGGTTTGTCTGTGGACAATCTTATTCGGGCTCCCGCTGGAGCGACCACATTATATATAGTGAAGGACAAACGCCTGACGGCAGACGAGTTTCGTTTGGAAGTTACAGCCTTTGATATGAGCACTTGGGCGGCTCTTATAAGAGCCTTTGTTCTTTGTGTCTTGACGTTCAGGAGATGTTCAGCCGCCGAATCCGTACAGAGTGCGGCCCTGGCGTTTCAGAGCGTACACCACATCCATGGCGGTGACGGTCTTGCGCTTGGCGTGCTCCGTGTAGGTGACCGCATCCCTGATCACATTCTCCAGGAAAACCTTCAGCACCCCGCGGGTCTCCTCGTAGATCAGGCCGGAGATGCGCTTGACTCCGCCACGCCGCGCCAGGCGGCGGATGGCTGGTTTGGTGATGCCCTGGATGTTATCACGGAGCACTTTGCGGTGACGCTTAGCGCCGCCTTTCCCCAGACCTTTGCCTCCTTTGCCTCGGCCAGACATGTCTCTCCTCCACTCAACAGCAGTCGAATGACGGACACGCAGCTTCTGGCTGCTTTTATACAGGGCGCCCCGACCTGGCTGAGGAAGGCAGAGCAGAGCTGCCGAGGGGAGGAGACGGTCACAGTGACACACACACACAGACACACAACAGCTGCCGCAGCTCAGCTCCTCCCGCAGTTTCCCACAATTGCCAATTGTTCAAACAATTTCGCAAAAGCAAACCGGAAACCAAAAGAACCCCAATTCAAATGCCATGTGAACCTCCAACCCCATGGTTTCCCATCAAGCAGTAATGTTAAAGCAGCTCTCCAGCTGGAATGTGCGCGGGAAATACCATTCAACCTCACTGACCAGAAGGAGTTACTGTTAACTGTTAATGTGGCTTCCCTCAAAATAAACCAAATGCTCCTGAATTCCCAGCATGTTACAGGCACAGACATGGAATATTAGAGGTTGAAGGTATAAGATGAGGCTCAGTGTCTGTGTCACTGCCAGATTTTAGCCAGAATCTCGAGCTCGGAAACTTCTCAGTTTCTTTCTATTTTTCGCCGAATGATCAACGCTGTGTTTTGCCATTCCACCGCTGTATATTTCCCGCTGTTGTAGCTATTGATGGGAAGGAGAATGTAGTCACCGTAGTGAAACTGGTGGGCTTTTTGAATTTGCTGCGAGTCTCAGTGTGAACCAAAGATTCACACAGTAACACGGCCTGACAGGGAGTCACCGCCACAGCTGATACTGTAACACATTCAGTGCTCGGCAGAGAAACGGAGAATGAATGGCTCTCAGCTCAAAGTCATTCCATGTTATTTTCAGGCAGCTGTTTGTGTCATGAAACATGCTCGAGATTTGTTCAGCTAGCTGGAGAGGATTGGCATGTGCCTGCGAATATTCCCCTTTGACCTCAATCGCCATGTAAGCCTTTTATTGCTATCTATATCTCTGTAGTTAAACAATCAGTTCAATTCCAGGCAGAGGGCGAAACCTTGGGCAAGTTTCCTTACTCCACACAGAGCCTAATAATAATCCCTCCAAAACCAAACACAATAATAAATTGGTCATTTTCAATCCAGGACTGTTTGTGGGACATTGCTGTGCGCAATTGGCTGCCGCGTTCGCCCACAAATATACAGTCAATTCACTTTACAGTGTGTTCTGTGAAGCGCTTTGGGACGTCCTCCTGACGTGAAAAGCGCTATATCAAATGCAAGGATTATTACTATTATTATTATTACTATTAACCGTGGAGCACACAGACAGAACCAGTGAAATCCTTTCTCCTTTGTCCTATCTGTGAGAACACTGACACTGTGGCGAGCTCCTATCTCAGAGCCTCCTGTCACTCACTGCGCTGCCAAACAGTCACAAACTCCGGGAGACTGCAGCACATAACATGGACAGAGGAAAATCCGCTCCTGAGAATTCAATGACTGGGGTATAGTTTGCCAGTTCAAGGCGCTGATTCAATGATAGTGTCAGCGGCTCTGTGTTAAAAAGGCGCCAGACTCAGATTCCAGTCACTGTGCTAGTGTGTCCAGCTTCATCCCGGGATTTCCAAATCCCTAGCACCAGAAGTAAGAATATTTTCTGTTGACGGGATGGCCCCGACCCTCTGCTTGACATCACAGCCACAATTTAAGCTGTGATTCTGTTTGGTTTGAGAATATCATTCAAGTCGCCGTCAATATGTCCAGGATTCAGCGCTGAACCGCGGGCAATCCCACATTCAAACGTTTTTAACTGGAAGCTGCTGCCTTTAGTTCAGTTGTGCAGTGTCTCTCAGTGAAGAGCGGATTGTGCACTTCAGCGAAAGGCTGTTGTTGACTCTCAGCACAAACGAGTTTAGAGACAAACGATCAGTTTTGGAAACGACAGAAACACAGAGATTTGAAACCCGGAAGCTGAGCAGCGGCTGACTCTGCCGCGTCCGCTCGGAGGCTGTAAGTGGCTGTGGCGCCGCCTGGCTTCACTATCCTGAGCAGCTCCACACACTGAGCCTCTCACAGGGACTATGGCTGAAACTGCTCCCGCCGCCGTCCAGCCTCCTGCAGCCGCCACCGCTTCGCCCAAAGCCGCCAAGAAGAAGCGCGTTGCCCCGAAGCAGAAACCCGGCTTCAACCTGATGGAGGAGATCAAGCAGATGGTGGCGAGCGCTGAGCATCGCAGGGGCTTGTCCGTGGTCGCCATCAAGAAGACTCTGGACGCCAAAGGCTACAAGCCGGAAACTCACAAACACCAGGTCAGGGCTTCTCTGAAGAGACTGGCAGACAGAGGTATCCTGATCCAGACCACGGGCATCGGCGCCACCGGCTCCTTCAAACTCAACAAGGACAACGCGGCAAAGAAGCCGACCCCGCGGGGGAAGAAGGCAGCGGCCGCCAAGAAAGCTTCTCCACGGAAGAAACTTGCAACAAAAAAGCCAAGTTCACCCAAGAAACCATCTGTGCCCAAGAGAGTCCACAAAGCCAAGTCTCCCGCTGTCAAGAAGACCCCGAAAGCTGCCGTGAGTAAGAAGCCCAAATCGGCCAAAAAACCTGTAAAGAAAGCGGTGGTAAAGAAAGCTGTAAAGAAGCCCGCAGCCTCAAAGAGACCAAGCGGCAAAACCGCCAAACGTTTCCCCAAAGCGCCGGCGGCTAAGAAAACACCAGCCAAAAAGAAGTAACTTCTCCCCTCTGCTGATATTAACCCCCAAAGGCTCTTCTCAGAGCCACCCATTCCCTCCCAAACGAGCTGCACCTAACGAATGATTCTGGGGTGAGCAGAGTGTCTGTCACAGGAGAGCAGAAACATAGACATAAACAGCAGGTACTGGGACCTTTGGCGTGTGTCCATGGCAGCATCTTGGCACCTGAGTCGGTGTGAATCCGAGTTAGTCCAGTGGTTAGTATCTCCGCCTGTCACGCGGGAGACCGGGGTTCAAATCGCCGACAGGGAGGTCGTTTTAGTCTCTGTGTTAGTTACCAAACAACATTCACCGAGAGTGGAGTCCTGTAGCTCGGTGGTTACAGCCCCAAAAACCGAGCCCAGCGCAGGGATATGTTTCAGCTGCTCCCACAGCTACTGGTCACATCCAGGCTGTCATCTTGGGAGGGGATTTCAACTGCATCATTGAGGCAGGTGGACAATCGTCCAGGGCTGACGGGGCACTGGACAGCTCGTCCAGGGCTCTCCTGAAGCGGCGATGAACGCAGAGTTACGTGGCCAATGTGATCTCTGTGCGGATCAAGACTAATCGAGCGGGTGATGCACCCTGACCAAACCTGCACGGTTCCAGGCTGAAGGATCCCTGATAGCCTCGCGCTACTCAGAGATACCAGGACAAAGCCTTCGGCAGATTATCGCACAACCATATGTTTGAGGCGGTTTCCATAATGGGCTTTGGGGAGGGAATTTTGAACTGGTTCCGATTGCTGTACAGAGACATCTGTAGCGCAGTCACAGCGAATGGACTTGAGACTCAGGCATTCCCATCACGTCTGGAGTCAGGCGGGTTGTCCCATGTCCCCGGCTCTATCAGTCTGCTGGATAGACCCCATGTTTTGCAACGAGGCTAAACTCTCTCTTCGAGGCTTCGTTCACTATGAAAATAATGCTTTGGGTGAGATGGACCACTGCTTTTTCATGGTGGTTAACAGTGGCTCCTCCCCTTCTGCACTGTTAGAAACAATTAATTTAGGGATCGTAGTAAATCATGAGAGCAAACATTGTCCTCAACAGAATCTGATATTGTAAATGTTAAACAACAACAACAACAGATCTACATTTGTATAGCACTGTTCAGCTTGGGAAGTGCTGGACAATCAATGATCTGGGGATCAGGACTGAGGAGGGTGGAGGGAAGGGGGAAGGAGCGTGATTGAAGGCACAGGTCTTGAAAGAGACAAGGGAGCGGTCAAGGTGGAGGGACTGTGGCACTGAGTAGCAGAGGGTGGGGGCAGAGTGGCTGAAGGCTCGCTTGCCAATGGCGAGGAACATAAAACGGACAAAATGTGTCCAAATCTGCAGCATTATGTTTGTTGCATCCATTAGAGCTCTGGGTGGGAGCAGCCGGTGATGGTGGGGAGAGGAAAGGTGAGAGAAACTATGTCAATCAGCCTGGGGGATGGAAAGGTTGAGACACAGAAGGGGTTTCTAGAAGGCAGAATTCTTTTAGAATGTTAGATCTCTGTTCCTGTAACGTTGTGTCTCTGTGGGAGGGTAACTGTAATGTCCATTGTTTCTATTATAAGCCTTCGTAAAAGACAACAATGATAACAAGTTTCCACTATTGTGCTTTATCCTCACAGGCCTTTGTGTTGCTTTGAGTAATACAGCATTAACTATTAACTCTACATAACTCAAAGCAACACAACCTGCTGTCCTGCTGTCCTCCACAGCCCTGCTGTCTTGTAGGGTTTGGAAGATCTTACCATCAGATAAGGAAGCCAGTCTCCGGGCTGCAATACCGAGGCTGACCACAGGGGAAGCAGATATTTCTGTCTCTCAGGGTGAAAGCTCAGGTGTAAACCTGCAAGAGAGGAAACTGGCAGATAATATTTGTGCAAATAATTTAACTGACGTGAAGTCTGAGAAAATAAAACCTTTATTCCAGGTGAATTAATACATGTCGATAAACTTTGAAGTTATGATGAACTGTAGTCCTGTAGCTCAGTGGTTATTGCCCTCGCCTTGCCCCTGGCTTCAAATCCAGGCAGGGAGAAACCTTGGGCAAGTTTCCTTACTCCACACACCTAATAATAATCCCTCCAAAAAACAAAACAATAATTGGTCATTTTCAATCCATGACTGTTTGTGGGACGCTGCTGTGGTCAGTTGGCTGCCACTTTTCGCCCACAAATATACAATTAATTCACTTTACAGCATATTCTGTGAAGCGCGTTGAGACGTTGAGAAGACATGAAAAGTGCTATATCAAATGCAAGGATTATTATTATTATAACAATGATGATAATAATCACTGTGGTTGTAGATTTTGTCTGAACAAAATAGCATAATTTTACTTTTGTCAGAAAGATGTCAGACAATTGTGGAAAGCCATCCACTATCTTAAAACTATTCAAACATACATACTATGAATCACAAAACAGAAACAAATGATGGGAGATTTAACACAGAAATCTGTTCGGACATGGAATGCCCAATATGAAACCATGGCTGAGGCGGTTTCAAATTTCATAATAAGAGAGCATTTGATAAATATCTGCAACAGTAATACAAAAGGCTGTGGGGGAAGCAGCTGGAGAATGTGATGGAACTCATTGCAACAGTCATTGAAGGAGGTGTTTAATACAAGAACAGTTGTGTGAAAGGCCTCCTTCAACAGTTTACATTTTTCATGATTCTATAGTTTAGAGCAATGGTCGGATTGAAGAATATCTCAATATAAAAATAAAATCTTTTTAAAAAATCTCCCAAAGACTGTTTTGTTGCATTGTGGATATTGTTCCTCTTTTCCAACATAGAAATGTCTACAATCATAATTTGCAACAATATCTCCAAGTTTCCTCTCTTAAACGCTGAGCTTTCACCTTGAAAGGCAAAAATATTTGCTCCCCCATGTCACCGAGTTACCAAACAGCAAAGTATTATTTGGCTACTTTTTGAACCATGAAGAGCTCTGCCCTATTCAGCCAACTACCTCCATTTCATCTCAGCAAACGGTTTCTCCTCCCACCTCCGGGCCTTCACCTGCGGTGTACCCCAGGGTTCCATCCTTGGCCCCCTTCTTTTCCTAAGTATGGTCCCTTCTTGGGGATGTCATCTGGAATTATGGGTTACACTTCTACATAAATTCAGATGACACACAAATCTGCATTGCATCTTCCAGGTCCACCGTAATCCAGGGCCACAGCACTCCCCTCGCAAGTGAGAGAACCTGGCTTGGATTCCTGGAAGAGCGAAACACTGGGCACATTTCCTTCAACCCTGGAGAAATCCTGGTGTAAAATCTAAAGCTTAGCGATGTTGATTAAAGTTAGTTCCCTGAATGTGTTCAGCATTTGCAACAAATTGGGCTGTATTTCAGCCCTGCAGTATCTGTCCAGGGTAAAGGCTGACATCCTGTTCCTGCAGCAGTGTGGAATCCCTCAACGTGGCAGTTTCAGGGTCTGGTCCAAGTGGTGGTCTCCCCACTGAACCTCAGTTTGTTCTGGGGCCGTGGCTGCCACAGCTCTGGGGTATCTGTCCTGCTACAAGGTGGGGGGGAATTCACCATCACCAATCGAAAGGGGAGGAACTATGCTGTTTGCCTGTTCAGGTGGAGTTTGGAGATTCCAGAGCACTATTGGAAATTAGCACTCAGTTACTCCTGCTTTCCTGGACAATAATCCTTCTCATAACATCCATGATTTGTTGTGGGTCATTGCTGGAGCTGAATGGGAGATTCCTTGTTCCCACTGACTGGTGTTCCCTCCAAATATTGTTGTCAAGCTCGGCTGGCTGGTCTAGCATTAACAGTGTGTGTTCCTTATCCTCTCAGGAAGCCAAGCAGGGCATCCCTCAAGTCAGTGCACATTGAAATACAACCTTGCTTTTAATATTGCCCCTTTCATGTCTGAAAGTATCAACTTTGTTTCACATCATTTCACTTTTGATGAAAGACCCACCTGTGCACTGTGTCTGTATCAAAGTGATTCACTGAGAATAAAACCAGAGTGGGATGGTGGGGGTGTGGGGTGTGAGGTGCTTTTGACTCAGGTTCAATGTCCCCATGAAATAACTTCAGGCATTTATAAAGCTGCTTGAGCTTCTCCATTGCAATGGCTATTCAGTACGCAGCACCGACTGCCCTGGTCCAAATTGCCATTGACCTCTATCTGCAACCAGGACTCTTCTGCCACCTTGTTCTCAGACCCTCTTTGTTGTCTCCCACATTTATCCACAAGATCCTTCTCTCAGCTCTGCTCCACCTTCAAGATTCTGTCCAATACTCGTTTCACTCTTACCTATTCCAGCAAAGTTGCTCCTCTGTCATTTCAAACAGCTTCTCCTACTGCTCCCAAACATACACAAGCAGTGTTCTTTAGAGCTTCATCCCAGTCCCTCCTGTTCTGATGGATGCATTGTCTGCTATCAAGTTATTCATGAGCTGGCACTCGCTTTACATGAATGTTGACCAAAGAGATTGTTATTGTGCAATTGGTTTTATTTGCGGCAATAACAGGCCTGGTCTCTGTGTGACATCTCTGATCTCTGTGTGACAGGTCTGGTCTCTGTGTGACAGGTCTGGTCTCTGTGTGACAGGTCTGGTCTCTGTGTGACAGGTCTGGTCTCTGTGTGACAGGTCTGGTCTCTGTGTGACAGGTCTGGTCTCTGTGTGACAGGTCTGGTCTCTACAATAAACCTGTTTTCCATATAACAGTCCTGTGCTCTGTATAACTGGACTTGTTTCTCTATAATAAACCTGTTCTCCATATAACAGGCTTGGCCAATTTTTGCGTAATAATAAAAATCTGGATTCCTATTTGCATATTATATTATATATCAGTTGCTGGAGACAGAATCAGGGAACACATATACACTCACATACATACATACACACGCACACGCACGCACATACACACACACGCACATATACACACACACACCTACACACACACATGCACACTCACACACATGCACAAGCGAGCAGGGCAGTGGGAGAGCAGGACAGAGTGGGAGTAGCAAGGTGTGGGGGGTGGGGGCAGGAACATTTTCAGGCGTGGACTTCTCGGATCGGAATGACAGCCAAAACGTGCCCACAGAGGCCGGGAGCGAGCGATCAGTGGGACAGGATCAGCACACGGGCTATGGGAGATAGCGCTGGGTGGTGTCGGGGTTGTGGTGGGGGCTGTGGGTAGGGAAGAGCAGTCGGTCATGGCTTAGGTGCCAGAGACTGGGAGGGAACGGAGGACAAGGTGGCAGAAGGATAGTAAAATTTCCCTGGTGTGGGTACACTCACACAACAAAGACACATAAATTTATCGAATCAAAACCCATTAAACACGCTATTGAGTGATACAGTATTGACAACTGTACACCTTACATTAAGTGCACATACTCTACACTCAAAAAATAAACGCAATACAGAAAATCAGGATTCCTGTTTGCATATTATCTTTCAGTTGCTGGAGACAGACACAGCGAACACGTCGGCAACAATCATACTCACTCTGTGAGACACAAGTTATATGTTTCCACACATTCAAAGTGCAATAACAGATACTGACATGGTCAGCACAACATCAATTCCACTGATAAAAACACGATCAAATATCAACAAACATTAATATTATTTGCAAAGATAGGAGAGATTGAAAAAGACAATGTCATTTAGATAATGGTCTTGCGACACTGAGATTCCTTGGATTCTGGAAAAGTCCCTATGGATTGGAAGATCGCAAATGTCACCCACTATTTAAAAAAGGTGGAGAGGAAAAGATGAGGATCTAAAGGCCAGTTAGTCTCACATCAGTGATCGGAAAAATTTTAGAATCATTGATTATGGATGTGGTTGTGCGATATTTAGGGGAGCACAACATAATTAGGCCAAGTCAACATGGCTTTACAAAAGGGAAGTCATGTTTGACAAATCTCATTGAGTTTTTTGAGGATATTTCCAGTAAACTAGATAGGGGTGAATCAGTGGATGTGGTCTATTTGGACTTCCAAAAGGCATTCGATAAGGTGCCGCATAAAAGCTTGGTCCAAAAGATAAGGCCCCATGGAATTGGTGGGAGCATATGAACGTGGATTGGGGAATGGTTAACGGGTAGGAAACAAAGAGTAGGGATAAACGGTCCTTTTCAGATTGGCGTGATGTGACCAGTGGAGTGCCACAAGGATCAGTCCTTAGGCCTCAGCTATTTACCATCTACATCAACAATCTAGATGAGGACATCAAAGTTAATATATCTAAATTTGCGGATGACACAAAACTAGAAGGAAGTGTCAACACAGAGGACGACATCAAAAAATGCAGCGATACACAGATAGGCTAGGGGATTGGGCAGGTAGGTGGCAGATGAACGATAATGTATGGAAGTGCAAAGTCATTCACCTAGGTAGCAAAAACAATAGAGCAGGTTATTTTTTAGAAGGGGAGAGATTGGAATGTGTTAGCATCCAGAGGGCCTTCGGTGTCCTTATACACCAATCACAGAAAGTTAGTCTGTAGGTGCAGCAAGCAATTAGGAAGGCAAACGGTTTGTTAGCATTCATTATGAAAGGATTAGAGTAATAATAATAATAATCCTTGCATTTGATATAGCGATTTTCACGTTTTCTAGACGTCTCAAAGCGCTTCACAGAATAGACTATAAAGTGAATTGACCGTATATTTGTGGGCGAAACGTGGCAACCAATTGCGCACAGCAGTGTCCCACAAACAGTGGTGGATTGTCAATTCTTTCATAATGAATACGAACAGTTAGTTAGCATTCATTATGAAAGGATTAGAGTATAAGTGCAGGGAAGTCTTGCTGCAACTGTATAGGGCCCCAGGGAGACCACAACTGGAATACGTGTCCAGCTTTGGTCTCCTTATTTAAGGAAGGATGTACTTGCCTTGGAGGGGGTGCAGCACAGATTTACAAGGTCAGTACGAGGGATGAAGGGGATGAGTTTCGAGGATAGGCTTACCAATTTGGGCCTGTATTCTCCATCCCCGACCACAGGCACCCCCACATCACCTCACCCTCATGACTCACCCAACCCTCACACATCCCCCCCTATACTCCTTCAACCCTATCTCTCCCTCCTCCCTCATCACGACTGTCCACAAACTCAAACTCACCACCTGCTCCCTCAATCCCATCCCCATCTCTCTCCTCGTCTCCCAGCTCCAACTTGTGGCCCCTCTCCTTTACGATGTCATCAACTTCTCCTTGTCCATTGGTTCTGTTCGCACCACCCTAAAAAGAGCCATCATCACCCTCATCTTGAAAAAACTTTCCCTGGATCCATCCCTCCACTCCAGCTACTGCCTCATCTCTAACCTCCCTACCTCAAACCCTTTGCCTCGCCCCCTTCAGGTCAGGCCTGAAGACCTTCCTTTACAACCGTGCCTACAGTCACATTACCCCCCCGCTCGGGCCTTGGGCTTCAGCATTGTTAAGCTCTGAGATGCCGCCTGTTGCCTCGATACATGGAATCTCATTGGCCTCGTTATGGGCTTGTAATCGAGATGAAGAAAATATGCACTGGTTGTTCTGTTACAGTAAAACCAGTTCTCACCAAATACTTTGTTATACTCAAATTCATTTTCAAACATTCATTCTCAGAAAATATTGAAATTAGTCATTACTGGCACATGTGCCTGAGTAACCAATGGAAATAATACCTCTCCATCTGGTCTATGAGAAACCCTCAAACATTTAAGGATCTTTATGCGTTGGCTGTTTCAATACAAACAGGCTCAGTTCACAGAAGCAACCAGAATTGGTAACAAAACTACATTGTAAATTAAATTAACACCGAATAAGAATAAAAGTTTTCCCAGTGTGACGCCTGCCTCAAGTAATCACATATGTACAGAATTTCAGTGACTTGCAAATTTGTTATATTGCAAGCAGAGAATATTTGATCGCAAGCAAAAGATGACAATATTGGAAGCCATAGATATTAATGTGAAGAAACAATCATTTGTGTCCACCAGCCAGTGACAGCCATTTGTCCCCTGTGTGCGTGTGTGTGTGTCCTGCCCCAGTGTCTCTGCAGCCTGCAGACACCCGCCTTTCCATACCATTGAAAACCGCACCAAATTCAGAGACAAAGAAGAGTAAATGTGAAGCTCCTTCAGGTGAATTATCAACTCTGTCTCGTTACACGGATTGATGTAATTTCAGTAGAATATCTTATATATCTCTCTTCCCCACCCAACAAATCCTTTGTCCCCAGTAATCACAAGCCTCCGAAATTAATTGACATAAAACATGGGGATATCTTGTACCCGCACAACTACTCTCATTGCTTTAAGACATCCTCAGGACATTGGGATTGAAGGACAAGAGAGGGTTAGGCGCTGAGGGCAGCTGAAATGAGCACCGGTGGAGCTACAGATTACACTGGTACAGTGCTTTTCAGGTCGGGACGACGAGCCAAGGCGCTGGATATCGTCAGTGCACACACAAGTTTAAGGCGCTTTTGCTACAGCTCTGTCGGAGAAGTGGTGTGTGGCTCTGAAAAGAGCCTTTGTGTGTAGATGGAGTGACTGTGAGCCCTCACTTGGAGCTGGTGTACTTGGTGACGGCCTTGGTGCCCTCGGACACGGCGTGCTTGGCCAGCTCCCCGGGCAGCAGCAGGCGCACGGCGGTCTGGATCTCCCTGGAGGTGATGGTCGAGCGCTTGTTGTACTGCGCCAGGCGGGAAGCCTCGGACGCGATGCGCTCGAAGATGTCATTCACAAAGGAGTTCATGATGCTCATGGCCTTGGAGGAGATGCCGGTGTCCGGGTGGACCTGCTTCATCACCTTGTACACGTAGATGGAGTAACTCTCCTTCCTCGACCTCCTGCGCTTCTTGCCCGCAGTCTGCGGTTTGCGAATCGCTTTCTTGCTGCCTTTTTTGGGCGCTCCTTTGCCCTCGGATTTAGCGGCTTTGGCATCGGTTTTGCCCTCACCAGCCATTCTGCTCTCTTGATACCACCGACACAGTGTCGGGCAGTGGCTGAACGTCTTCTTATATATTATCGCCATCCAATCCCAGCAAAGCAGTCCGTTCATCCCTCTTTAGCATAAACGGTTCCCCAATGGGACCCCGGGGGTTGGCAACCAATCCCCAGCCTCCCAGCCTCTGTGCTGTGATTGGCTGAGAGCCGATGTGACGTAGAGACAGGGGGCTGGGGCTGCAGTGCGAGGAGATCTGATTGGGCAGGAAATGAAGGGCCTGACGCTCGGAGCCTATTTAAGCACAGAATCCGCTCTGGTTGGTGTCGGAATCTTAGTCAAAATGTCAGGACGTGGGAAGACCGGAGGTAAAGCCCGAGCCAAGGCCAAGTCCCGCTCCTCCCGGGCCGGACTGCAGTTCCCCGTGGGCCGGGTCCACAGACATCTCCGTAAAGGCAACTACGCTGATCGCGTGGGGGCCGGAGCCCCGGTCTATCTGGCCGCGGTGCTCGAGTATCTGACCGCTGAGGTGCTGGAGCTGGCGGGTAACGCCGCCCGCGACAACAAGAAGACCAGGATCATCCCCCGGCACCTGCAGCTGGCCGTCCGCAACGACGAGGAGCTGAACAAGCTGCTGGGGGGAGTGACTATCGCTCAGGGCGGCGTGCTGCCCAATATCCAGGCTGTGCTGCTGCCCAAGAAAACCTCCTCCCATCCTCAGAAGAAGTAACTCATCCGAGGTTTTCCTATCCAACCAAAGGCTCTTTTCAGAGCCACCCACACGGTCCAGGAAAGAGCCGTTTGCCGTTTCAGCAAAGCGACCTCCAGTGCAGGGAGCTCGCTCGGCAGTTGCGGAGACAGGGCCCGCACCAGCCATATCTCTTACGCCACATCAAGTTGAATGGGCGGATATAATAATTGCGGGCTTTGGGATGACTTGGGGAGTCCGGGTGCAGTTCAGAGTTCCTCTTTGTGCGTCGCGTCGAAGACGCTGCAATAATGCCGCATGCATGTGAGCCACACACCGCTGCAAAATACTGCGGTGCCGGAAATCTGAAAGCAAAGCACAGCAGCAGGTCGGGCAGCATCAATGGAGAAAGGAAAGCGAGTCAACGTTTCGGGTCCGTGCTGACGCAGGGTCGTGGACCCGAAGCGTCGACGCGCTTTCCTCCCACAATGAACGCATGTGGATGGTTCTCCACAGAAAGACAGATCTCGCTGTATCGGCACCGGCCGTTACTGTACATTCGGTTTAACAGTGGTTTGGGCTGTAGATGCGTTAAGCTGAGGAGGAGTGTCAAGTGTACAGTTTGCTGGAGAGGCCGCTCTTTCCGTTTGACTATTTGGTGGCTCTTAAAAGAGCCTTTGTTCTTACACAGTGTGGAGACGGAGGGTCTAAGCGCGCTCCCCGCGGATGCGGCGGGCCAGCTGGATGTCCTTGGGCATGATGGTGACCCGCTTGGCGTGGATAGCGCACAAGTTGGTGTCCTCAAACAGCCCCACCAGGTAAGCCTCGCTGGCCTCCTGAAGCGCCATGACGGCAGAGCTCTGGAAGCGCAGGTCCGTCTTGAAATCCTGAGCGATTTCCCGCACCAGGCGCTGGAAGGGCAGTTTGCGGATCAGCAGCTCGGTGGATTTCTGGTAGCGGCGGATCTCCCGGAGAGCCACGGTGCCGGGACGGTAGCGATGCGGCTTCTTCACGCCCCCCGTGGCCGGAGCGCTCTTACGAGCAGCTTTGGTGGCCAACTGTTTGCGGGGAGCTTTGCCGCCGGTGGATTTCCGCGCCGTCTGCTTTGTCCGCGCCATCTTCTGACTCCCGCAAACAAGACGAGCTGTGAATGGCGAGTGCACTGTGAGCAGCGGCTCTTATAGAGGCCACAGCGCAACGATTGGCTGCAGTCAGGGGAGGAGAGAGTCACTGACACAGGGAAGAGAGATCAGCCTCTGAGCTGCGAGCTCCACCTCCAGCTTCTCAACAAGCATTTCAGACAGGGACTGAATCACCCTCACGAATCACATTGAAAATAAGTAGTGATGTGAGAATGATATCAAAACATTGTGACTCCCATTGTTTGTTTTTTAGAAAAATAAGGCCTATTTACGGAAATGCTGACGGTTTCTCTGTGTCCGAGTTTGTCTGAAAACATTCTGAAGACAGCTTCAGGAATCCTGCAGTGGGACGGTTGGCACACTCACCCTCGCAAGCGCGAGGACCTGGGCCAGGTTTCCGGACGGGGCCAAATGTTAGCAAAATTTCCTTACCCTTCCCGCCTCTGTTTACCGAACAGTAACTAGGCACCCGCTTGTTAGTCGATTGGCGCATCGCTTTTCCGGTGGTAATAATCCCGTCAATAAAAGGAAAGAAGAATTTGGTCACTCAATCCAGACTGTTTGTTGAACACTGCTGTGTGAAATTGACTGCTGCGATTCCCTCACCAAATAAATGCAGTCAAGTGGCTTTACAGTGTACTCTGTGAAGCGATTTGAGTCATGTCAAAGATATGATGAGGCGATATATCAAATGCAAGGATTATTCTTATTATTATTATTATTTTCTACCGTGTTACAACACCACACAGTGTCTTCCCATTTCCTGCTCTTTGATACCTCTTTGGCAGCTTCCCCCCAAGCGACAGAGGCTCTGACCCACTTTCACACGGTTGAAGGTTACATTCATTCCTTAGAAAGCCTCCTGGTGATGCACACAATTAAAATGATAATCATGAGCACATCAATCACTTTAATGAAACCGATTTAATCTTAATCCGAAGAAGGATCTCATTTACTCCTTTCTTTATCTGAGTGAATTTGGTGCGGTTTCCAATGGTGTGGAACGGCGGGTGACTGCAGGCGGCCGATACACTGGGGCAGGACAGGGGGCACCCGTGTGCACACACACAGGGACAAACAGCCTGTGACTTTATTGTGGACAAAAATGAACTTCTCATTAATTGACTCAAACAAACTCTTTTTTTTCTTGGAATCACATATAATCCTGTCACTGCTTGCAATATGATAATTTTACACGATCTGAAATTCTGTAAGTATATGAACATTGAAAGTTCAGACATGACACTATGGTATAATGTTTCTCCTTATCCAGTGTTAATTTTAAATCGACTTTTGTTACAAAGTTTGACTGATTCTCTGAGGCTACACTCAATAACAGGATATTCAACATCAAGATAAATACTACTGAATGTTGAATTTTTCCAGATGGTCTATGCCTCTGATATTGTGTTTGGTTCTCATGTGGGTAACATCTGATTATAATAATAATAATCCTTGCATTTGATCTGGCGCTTTTCACGTCGGGAGGACGTCCCAAAGCGCTTCACAGAACATATTGTAAAGTGAATTAGCTGTGTATTTGTGGGCGAACGCGGCAGCGAATTGCGCACAGCAATTTCCCACATACAGTCGTAGATTGAAAGTGACCAATTTATTATTGTATTGTTTTGGAGGGATTATTATTAGGCTCTGTGTGGAGTAAGGAAATTTGCCCAAGGTTTCGCCCTCTGCCTGGAATTGAACTCAGGTCTCTCGCTTGCAAAGCGAATGCTCTAACCACTGAGCTACAGGACTCCACTGATTGTCTGAATCTGCAGGTAAATCATGTGAGCTCCCTGTTATCCTGTGAGTAAGTTGTCTTTTTAACATGTTGAGTGGAGTTGAACTCAGATCTGTTTCTCTCGAAGCCCAAAGTTCAAATATTCCTCTTGAGCACAAATCTGTAGATAAACAGTGAAATATCCATCATCAGCTGTGGACAACATTCCTTACTCATGTCCTGAAGTTTAATCTGAAAGACAATAAAGTGTACGTCTGTCAGTGTGGCTCAGTTTTAGCAGCCTCACCTCTGAGCCAGTAGGTTGCGGGTTCATGCCCCACATTGGAAGTAGTTTAGTGCCATGCAATCTTTATCTTCCAACTGAACAAGCAGCCGGGACCTCAGTTTAACTTTTCATCCAAAGGACGGCACCTTCGATAGTGCAACACTGCCCCAGCACTGCATTGGAAAGTCAGTTGAGACAATGTCCCAAACTACGGCTTGAACCAGCAACCTTCTGACCCAGCGGCGAGAGACCAACCACTGAGTCAGGCCGGACACACTGTCTGTTGGAAATTTCCATTACCCACAACATGCAGGACTTTTCTAGGATTCCAGCTTTCCCTTAAACATACCCAATCAGTTAGTGACACTCTACAGTCCAACCCTATTGACAGCACAGGTTGACAGGCTTTATTTAACAATAACTCTCCTCAAAAAAAAACTTTCAAATTTGGTGTTCCTGACAAAATGTCACTCTGTGTTGTAGGTTGTGCACGTCCTTTCAACAATGTATCCTGATTGGTAAGGTATTGTGTTGCAATGTCTAGGAATGCTACTGGGTGCTTGCAGGTGAGTTGCTTGTGATGGTGGCAGTGTATCTGCTGCAAGTGTGGGCCTGTGGATTGTTTCTATAGTTGATAATTTGTGAGAATACTGATTGTGTGTCATATTAATTTGAATTCATTTCAGAGGCTCTCTAATCTTGTACACAAACACGGAATCAATACTCCGTGTTCATGTCTTGCTATCTATATGTGAGTATCAAATAGATAATCCCTCCACGTCTAAGTGATATTGCTGTGTGTGTGCATCCGAAAAAGCCTGTGTGTTTTGCTGCTGCTTGAAGGTATTATTGCCGACCAAGAAATCTTTTCAAGAACAATAATCCGGTCACTCAATCCACTCCTGTTTGTGGCACACTGCTGTGCACCATTGGCTGCCGGATTTCACCAACAAAATATACAGTCAATTCATTTAACAGCATATTCTGTGAAGTGCTTTGAGATGCCATCTCAAACAGAGACCAGGGCAGTAATACAGAGACCAGGCCTCTTATACAGAGACCAGGCCAGTAATACAGAGACCAGGCCAGTAATACAGAGACCAGAGCGGTAATACAGAGACCAGGCCAGCTTTGCAGAGACCAGGGCTGTTATACAGAGGCCATTCCAGTAATACAGAAAACAGCCGGTAATACAGACACAAGGGATGCTATACAGAGACCAGGGCTGTTATACAGACACCAGACATCTTATATAGAGGCCAGGGCTGTTATACAGAGCACAGTCCAGTTATACAGAGACCAGGCCTTTTATACAGAGAACAAGCTTCTTATACAGAGACCAGGCCAGTAATACAGACACAAGGGCTGCTATATAGAGACCACGGCTGTTATACAGAGACCAGACCTCTTATATAGAGACCGGGGCTGTTATACAGAGACCAGGGCTGTTATACTGAGACCAGGGCAGTAATACAAAGACCAGGCCAGTTATACAGAGACCGGAGCAGTAATACAGAGACCAGGCCAGTTATACAGAGACCAGAGCTGTCATACAGAGACCATGCCAGTTTTACAGAAACCAGGCCAGTTTTACAGAGACCCGGCCAGTAATACAAAGACCAGGTGAGTTATACAGAGACCAGGCCAGTTATACAGGGACTCGGCCAGTTATACAGAGAACAGGTGAGTTATACAGAGACTAGGCCAGTTATACAGAGACCAGAGCAGTAATACAGAGACCAGGCCAGTTATACAGAGACCAGAGCTGTTATACAGAGACCAGAGCAGTAATACAGAGACCAGTCCAGTTATACAGAGACCAGAGCTGTTATACAGAGACCATGCCAGTTTTACAGAAACCAGGCCAGTTTTACAGAGACCCGGCCAGTTATACAAAGACCAGGTGAGTTATACAGAGACCAGGCCAGTTATACAGAGACCAGGCCAGTT